AAATCAATGATTATCACAATTGACAAATAACAGGGTCACCAGAGTCATTCTTGAGTTACAAGCATTTAAAACTAAAATGAAGGAGTCTATATAGCAGTTAACACTATTTGCCATAGGTAACTTATAAAATCAAAAACAAATGATCGTATGATCGTAAACCAATGAACGGGAATTTTTTTCAAACCATTGCTAATGATAGTAATAATATTATTGTACTACTACTGATAAGGAGTCATAGTATTGATCTAAAGTATCAAACAAAGAAATGCTGAATAATGGTTCTAATAATCATTGCTGCCAGCCATCTTAAATGTGGTAGTTTAACGGAAAAACTTGAGTTTCTCAAGTAGCCATTCCTCAGTCATTTCTTCTACAGACCTTAACTCAAAAACCTGAAAAACAAAGTGCAGTGATAAACATTTTCAGTGTTTTGCGAATTTTGTCAAATGCATAATAGTGGAGCTCCGGCAGGCCGCCAAGCGGAGCCCCATACTCATATAGGAAAGAAAAGGACACCCACAAGTTGATTTTCTCGTGGCTAACATGGCTAGCAGTATTGTTCGTAGGCGTGTACGCATGACGGCGACGGCAACAACAGAGTCGCGCAACATGATGGCCATACTCCAAATAATAGGTTGACAGATATGCAACATTGTTTGGCCATGTACATGTAGTTCTTTGATATTGGACATCTATGTTATGATCAATTGACACCTATCTAAACAAGGTATCCACTGACCAGTATCATGTGACCATATCGCGAGCTCAAGTTTACAGCTCATTGAGGACAGATTTTATTTGAAGTTGACCGCTGACCAAGTGCTGGTTTTCAATTGGATCGTGGGCTCATGTCAGGTTAACTTGTTGAAAACAGGGCAGGATTGTTTGGGAGCTGGTTAATGCTAACCCAGGATTAAAAGTTAATGAATTATAGCACTTTCTTCTACACAAATGTTTTTTGCTGCTTTGTTTTGTGTATATGGTGATTATTAAAACTCAAAACGGAAGGCCAAACAATATACAGAAAACCTCACTG